GCAACATGTATTTGATCGGGTTGAATCATTTACCTCTTGGTATAAAGTTGTAACAAGCAACTTTTTTTGATACTATGTAGAACACCATGTGCGTTTTGTCTCTGTATGTATCGTATGAAAAGAGTAGAAAGAGAAAAGTAAAATGTGTAAGGACACAGTAGATGTCGTGCTTCACACAGTATCGAGAAAAGTTGCTTATTACAACTTACCAAGAGGTAAATGATCCTAGCTGATCAAAAATACGTTGCGATGACGAAATTGTGCGGATTAGTAGCAATAGTGATCTGCCAGAGCAACTTTTCAAAAAAATTAAAATGAAACATATTTGTTTAACTTAAAGATTTTGTACGGTAAGCTAAAACAATGAGCTATGAGAAGATTATGAATGAAGCATATCATGCTTGATAAATAGTTAAGTTGCTGCCATGATGAATATTTTATCTTTTAAATTAATTGAACTAAGAGAATTAGAGAATGTATAATTCATATTTTTATATTTATTAAACATATCAGTTTGTGTAAGTTGTTTTAATTGCATGTTCCTATGAATAGATTTTAATGAAAAATAATAAAATGTGATAAAAAAATATTTATCATCCATACATTCATTGTATGTATCATTGTTGTACGAAAAAGACCAACTGTGCCGAACGAATAGGTAAATGCTAAAGAATATGAAAATATTTTAATTTTATCTTACAACAGATGTAGCATTAAATACGGAACTAAAATCAACATCAATAACTTGTCCAGATAATCTATCAATAAAAAAACTAAATAAATAGGTAATTATTTAAAAATATATTTTGATAAAACTTCCTTTGTAGAAAGCAATACAATATTACACTTTGAAAAACTAGATAAGCTTTATTGTTTGTTCTCTCTCGAAAATATTACGCTAGTTAATTCATTGGTCAACAATAAAAAAACGTAATATAATGAAGGAAAGTACAAATTAATAAATTAACACATGTGTATTATAGAATCAGTTAGAACAAAGTTATATTTTTGTATATGTTATGTACATTGAATTAATTCAAGTTTATTTTGTATCAATGGCAAAAATTTATTAAACTTTATTTTATTGTTCACACTGAAATTACATCTTCTTAACTTATGTAATTAAAACTATGCCATAATAACAAGTCCTTTAAACTTAGTTTTTCTGCTTAAATCATAGTTTTTTATATCACTTATACATGTGAACTGTCTTATGTAATGAAAAAAGATGATTAAGGAATTTCTCACTTCATATATCACCGGCCCTGTGGCCTAATGGCTATGGCGTCTGACTTCGAATCAGAAGATTGCAGGTTCGAGTCCTGCCAGGGTCGCTTTTCTTTTTTTGTTTTTTTCCTCGAATGTTCATAATAAATTCACTTGTTTACTTATATTTCTTTATTACAATACAAAACTAAAGTAGTGTTTGTTTTACTTTTATTTTGCATTTTTTTGTATGGTAAAGAACATATCGAAGCAGTATGTCAAATTAATAGCTCTCTTAAGAACTAGAATCAAACTGCCTGGATCTATCATCATTTCTTCTTCTTTAAATACGTTTCGTTTAATGTCTAATTATCTAGAAAGACCTTATTTATCGTGCAATGTTTTCTGGAGAAATAATTATTAATCCATACAAAAAACGTGATGTTCAAGTAGTGACTTTTTTCGAGTTGCATATTTTCCAGGTATTTCAATAAAAATATAGATTATCGTCTGAATACACGATGTTGTTGTTGAAATGTTAATAAAAACCATGTTGAATAATCATTTATATTTGATTTATCTTGTGTAAATTGTTTTTTATTTTATACTAACATTGGTAATAATTGATTTAATATCAGTGAGTAATATAGTAGAAAATTAATCATTTTGTTTACCAAATAAAATATCAAGATATTTTTAAAGTGATATCGTATTGAACTTAATCGAGATTTTAATAATCGTTGATCTAGTCTATCATTAAAAACATTATCTTGTGACATTATTGTTTGTATTGAATGTTCTTCATTTATTTCATCATCTGCTGTATCTTCAATTAATGCTAGTTTATCATCATCTTTTCTATACAAAGAAATTTCTAAAGAAATTTGAGGAATAGAATTTGATTGACTTTTATTTAAATCATTAAGCTATTGATTAACGTCAATTGATTTAAAATCAAAAACAGCTAGCTCATCAGTTAAACTACTATCAAACAGGTTTTGAGATGATAAATAAAGTGGTGGAGTCGATGTACATTTTTGATTATCTTGGGTGTGGGTGTTGGTGTCGATAAATGAACACCGATCAAGCGTCACTCCTACACTTACACCCACACCCACCTATCTTTTTAAAACTCATACTATATTAAACTACGTGTAGCTATTTATATTTATTTTCAGTTTTTTTTGTAATTTATTAATTCATAAATTAAAATGAATCATAATTAATTTATGTGTAATTTGTATGTTAAACAATATTTTTATTGTATAACACGTCGTAATCGATTAAAAGATTATGCTCATTTTGTACGCCATAAAATTCTCTTTAAACTACATGAGCTCAATTATTACTGTGAATACGTTGGCAGGCCACCAGCAGGCAACTGGCTTACCTAAAAGAATTTTTTCGTTTCTGACACCTTAAAATAAAAGCACTGAACAATAAAACAAATCTGAAACATGATAAAATGTAAATTGTTTCTTTAATCTGAATTATATGGTGTGTTATCATTTGAGTTAAAATATTTTGGTTCATAATTAATATAAGCATTTGATGTTAATGCATTGTTTTGAAACCATGTATAGATTCGTTTAGTAACGCATTTGATTTTTATTTTTGATAATTTAGAACATTTTGTTAATCGGCCTCTCCAAGCGTAACGCGATGACGTTTTGGCTACAGTTTTATTGACTTTTCTCAACAACTAGATAGTATAGGAGGCTCATTGTTTCGGTGAAAGATGTACCTCTATCATCTCCACAATCTGTGAAAATATTATCTGATTTGAACGAGCCGTTTGAGAATTGCAGTAAAAATATACTACGAAACGCGATGATGAATTAGGGACAAGAAATTGAGGGTGCTCCACTTTTTCCTTGTTTTTCTCTGAATATATTCTACTGTTGCAAAAATTTTCTATCAGCAGGTAATAGAAAACACTTCGGTCTATTCAACGAAAGAAAAAAGTCTCTGAAGATCTTTTTATGGAGGGTGATATTTTTGTCACATTAACGTAACGCGATGATGATTTTGTAACACGATGATGAAAGTCAGAAAATTAAGTACTGTTTTTCTCTATGAGAGTCCTTGAGAATTTGATAGATGTGAGTCTGGCCTCTCAGTGTTATAGTCTAGAACAACATCCAACTATTTGATGCTATACTATAGAAGACTATAGTCATGATATTTAGATCGAAATTTTTAAAGTCTGGTCCCCCGAGTTGACGCGTTACGCGTTTTAGCCGTAATATTAATAAAACATCATCAACATTATCGATATCACACTGAAGTTCTTCGACATTTGAAAATGTTTTACAAAACCAATCTAAATCTTGAATTACAATATAATGATCGCAAGATGGATAAGTAAAATCCAATATTTTTATTTTTTTATTCAAAAGTTCACAGAGTTCGTGATGAGTATAAAATGAACTTGTTATTTGTTTCTTTAATATTAATGATGATATATTTGGCATTTGCTTTAATATTTCAAATAGTAATTCTGATTTAATTACACATCTTTTTGTAATTTCCAATTCTATAATATTTGATAAGTTGACCATCTTCTTCAAATGTTCTATTTTTAATTCGTACTCATCGTCTTCATCACGACGATCACGACTACTTGCTAAACTTAATGATTGAACATTTCGAAAATACCATGATGAATCATCTGTAATTGCATTTGAAAATAAAGATAAATACTTAACATTATCAAATTCATTTAAATCATTTGTTGATGAACTATTGTATTTCTTCATAGTAGATGTTAATGTATAGTGAGTAGGTGTGTATGGTACAGTATAAACGGAATGTCTTCCGTCATCGATTACATAATTGATATACCAATTGTGTTGATGCCAAAAATCAGTTTGAAATGGTGAAAGCTTGATTAATATCTTATCGTAAGATTCAGAATAGCGACAACTAAAGTTAAAATTGAATACACGTAATAGTGGTAATGAAGATTTGACGAGATGTTGCCATCGATCAGCATCAATCGTATTGTCTGCATTGTCATCATAGATTGAAAAAATTTTCAAGTTTGGAACACATTTTAACAACAGTTCGAAACGTTCAAAAGAAGTCGAAGAATAATTTAGATATAATTGTTTTAAATGAACAGCACATATCTTACTAAAATCAGATCTCATATCATAATCACTACACATGTCGATTTTTATATATTTTAACATCGATGTATAATTCAATAGTGTTAGTAATTCAGATAAAGTACACAAATAAATTCTTAATGATGTAACTGACGATGTTTTATAAATAGATGTAGGAAGATAGTTTCCTAATGTTAACACTTGTATTTTCGATTTAGATATAGTCTGTGCTTCTATTCTCCATCCAGGAGCATAAAATCGGTATAAATCAGGTAATAAGGTTAACATAGATGAGACTTGTTCAATACCCTCATAACCCAAATTAATAAATGATAATGATCGAAGGTGAATAAATTCATTTAATGGAAATAATGAAAAAAATGATTCAATCTGTTTACAGGTATCTATATTTGACAGTTTTTAATAGATGATGTTTCGTTTAGTTTTCGGATTTATTCGTATTATTTGACAAAATTCATTAAATAAAGGCTTTTTGACTTGTTCAAAATTGAGATGTAAATGAATGTTTCGAATAAGTATATAAAATCGATAGTTTAATCGATCAAATGAATAAAAGATATCGGGTGCATTGAGATATTGAAAGCATTCAACGAATACTTCATTTGGTAATTGTTCAAATTTCATCCTGCTCGATATTTTATCTAGAATATAACAAAGAATAACAACATGTTCTATGTTATAGATAGTTTATGGGTAAAAGAAAGAAATGATTTAACTTGTTCTTCTAAACTGTACATGAGCCATTAGTTTAGCGTTAACTATATTCTTTGTGAAAACTCAATACACAGAGACATCTTTTTATTATAGTTTGTAATTTATCAAATATTAGCTGGGTGTGGGTGTAGTTATGGGTATTGGTGTGAGGGGTAGAACAGCCACACTCACACCCATCCACCCACACCCTCAAGAAAATGAAAAAGTCACACAAATTGCTGGAGTAATTCAAAAAAAAATTAAAGCAGTGAATAATTCAGTTATCATTCTATTAGTTCGCTTGATCTTTCGCCGTATGCATTTCTTTATGATAATATTGGTAATTTCTCTCAACCATTATCAGTGATTGAATATCATCTTCTGTAATAGTATCTCGGAACCATTTGAAATATTTCTTTACACAGCTTGCAGTATCTGATGATTGATCATCGATGATTTCATCGTTTACATGAGTTTCAAATAGGCTGAAAGAGGGTCGGATGCGATGTGACTGAATACTTGGATTCGAACGTCGACGACATACACGGCACATTAAGAAATATAAAATAATTCGTACTATTGTTTTCAATTGAAGATGAAAAATTTCATAATCAAAGAAGAGTTCATACATCATCTTATTCCGTAGAAGTGTTGCCTGTGTTTTCAATGTTGGAATTTCTCCCAAAGCCAAACCTACATGAATATATAGAATGAAGTAGAAAAATATTGGAAGAATAAACATACCAATCAACATATTTGTCATAAGAATAGTTAGAATAATTTGGGTTAGAATGAAAACAAAATAGACGACAGGATAATACATAACACCAGTCGGTGGATTATAAAGTCGACTTTCATATCCTAAATCGAATAGACTCAATGCTGTGCGAAACATTGCTTCAAATGGAGTCCCATAAACAGTTTGATATTGTAATAGCATATAATAAGTGAAACCAAAACCACAGAAAAGTACCATTAAAAGAGGTATTGCTCGAAGAAATTTTAAAAGGATTACATTGAGCATGACAACATATAGACCAATATCCATCCAAGGAATATAACGCATATATGAAAGGAACACTAACCAAGATAATAGAAGACCAATTGAACCCTACAAAGAATAAATGTGAATTATAGAAAACTATTTAAAATACAATGCTTACTAGCTCCCATTGAATTGGACATCGAAAGTTAAGAGAACTTTGCCATGAATTATCGTCTCTGATACACACGTATACCAATACTAGAGCAAGTGCTTCTGTATAGTATGCTATTTTACGAATAAAACGTGGAAATGAAGCTAATATAAAAATTCCATTTTTAATCACAAATATAATTAATAAAACATCGAGCATCAATAAAGATCTTTCTTGATTTGTCGTCTTTCGTGCATCAGTATTTCCTGATTCGATTAAATAAATTCCTACTTGTCGACAGACGTCACTATTGAATCCATAATCCCACTCGATGTTTTGACCTGAAGCATTTCCAGATGAATTATAAAGATCATAGTAATGTTGTGGATGAATTGTTTGAAGAACAACAATAGTATACAAAGCCATAAACATAATATAGCTAAGAAAGGATAAGAGAAGTATCCAGCGACTAAATCGCCGAAATTTCGCTTTGCGTAATGCCAAACATAATGGGTGTGTTATTAATTTTTCTTGGCTACATTGTGACATCAGCATTAGAGGATGATTACGAAGTAGTGTGTATGCACTTGGTGTATATGGATGACGACGATCAGGTATGCTTACCTTAGTTAATATAGATTTATACCATTTGCTCAATTTTGATCCTGGCTTGTCAACAAGGTCATCTGAAAAAGAACAGATAATCAATAACTCTACAATCAAAAGATATTTACCGAACTGCCAATCACAAATATTGTAATGATCATCAATAAATGTGTAGTCATATTTAATTAAATGTTTCGGTTGATCAGCATCTCCAATAATCGTTGTAAAATGTTTATCAATAAGTTCATAGGCGATTTCCGGCATAGATATGATCAACCGTCGCATAGGCGTAATCGGTACATCACTGTCTTCATATTGAACACTTTCCATTAAAATACGCCATTCGGGATATTCCAATAAACGTTTGACAATTTCATGATGGTGTCTTGCGATAGCAATATCAAGACAATTGTAACCTTTAGCTGTTCTTATTGTAGGATTGGCATCCGTATAATCAAGTAGATACCGTACAACGTCAATAAAGCCTCCTTCGCAAGCTCCATACAATGGCGTCTGTCGAGTACTTGCATAAGGATTAATTGAAATCTGATGCACAGTAATAAGATATTTAACAATATCCAAACTACCTATATATAGAGTAGAATAAAGACAAAGCTTCGCTAATGATGTGAACAAATCTATGTTTACCGTTATAACATGCTATGTGTAGGCATGTCATTTGATTTTGATCTTTTAATTGATCAAGTATTTTCGTCCATTTGCTCGAATTAGGTTGTTCTGACAATAGTTTTTCCATAAATGATTTTCTGTTATATTTTGCACATTCAAACAATGGTGTTTGTCCGAGCCAATTCCGTGGTTCGTCTACTCCATATACTTTTTTTTCTTCCTTACCTTCCGAACTAGAAGTTTTCAACTCCCTGCCACGTTTTAATAAATATTCAAAAATTTCTCCGTTCTTCATTCTAGCAGCAATATGAAGTGGAGTATTTTTATCGCTGTCACCTGCTTGAAGTAACGTCTTAAAACACATAGAATCGCGTTTGAGTATAGTGTTAAAAATTTCCAGATATTTACTATGCCTATACATTATGCTATATATCATATGATAATTGAAATAAAAACTGTCTCGCATTCAAATACATACGTGGTTTTGCCCTTTTCATTTTCGACGGGTAATGATGTCAATTCACTT